AGGCGCGGAGAATATCATCCACAACACGTGAAAGAAAGTACCTTCCTCGATCAGTAAGCAGCTGCCGCGGAGCGCCGTGATGAAGAATGACTTCATACAAGAGAAAGTCAGCGATGTCAGTGGAACAGCTTGTCGGCAGTGCTTTAGTGATGGCAAAGCGTGTGGCGTAGTCTGTGGCGACTGCAACCCATTTATTTCCGGAGGTGGACGTAGGAAACGGGCCCAACAGGTCAAGGCCAACACGGAAGAATGGTTCCGTTGGTATGTCAATGGGCTGTAGGAGGCCAGACGGTAGCACAGAGGGCGCTTGCGGCGTTGGCAGCGGTCGCAAGCAGTGACGTAGCGAACCACAGAACGATACAGTCCGGGCCAGAAAAAGCGACGTCGCACACGATCGTAGGTACGAGAGACGCCTAGGTGACCGGCTGTAGGTACGTCATGTAGTTGTTCGAGAACGCTGGTACGCAGGTGATGGGGAAGCACGAGTAGTAATTCCGGGCCATCAGCGTTGAAGCTGCGACGGTACAGAATGTTGTCGTGCAGTTCGAACAGGCGAACGGAAGGGTCTGTCGGAGCAGAGGTCAGACGCTCGATAATGGAGAGTAACGACGGGTCACGTCGTTGTTCGGTGGAGATATCACCCAAAGCGTGGATGGAGAGAACGCAGGGGTCTGAATCAAGGTCTGTCAAGTCGGGCGTTTCAACCGGATAACGTGACAAACAGTCTGCGTCTGTGTGGAGGCGTCCCGACTTGTAGTGGACCACGAATGAGTATTCTTGCAGACGGAGCGCCCAGCGACCAAGACGTCCAGATGGGTCCTTTAGCGATGACAGCCAGCAAAGAGCGTGATGGTCCGTGACAACGGAAAAAGTTCGGCCATACAGGTAAGGCCTGAATTTCGCCACGGCCCACACTAAAGCTAGGCATTCACGCTCAGTGATGGAGAACTTCCGTTCGGCAGGTGAAAGAAGACGACTGGCGTAAGCAATCACGCGGTCCTTCCCGTGCTGTCGTTGGCCAAGGACCGCTCCAATTCCATGGCCACTGGCATCGGTCCGAAGCTCTGTAGGTGATGCTGGGTCGAAATGGGCCAGTACTGGTGGCGTAGTCAGCAGATGGATAAGAGCCGAGAAGGCGTCCGCTTGCTCTATACCCCATGCGAAGGGAACGTCCTTCTTTAAGAGATCAGTAAGCGGTCGAGCGATGTCGGCGAAGTTGCGGACAAATCGACGAAAATAGTAACATAGTCCTACAAAACTTCGGACGTCCTTGGTTGAGCGTGGTTCAGTAAATTGCTGTACTGCTCGCACCTTTTCGGGATCTGGTTGAACACCATCGGCACTGACAAGGTGGCCGAGTATGGTGATTTGGCGACGTCCGAAATGGCATTTTGCAGAATTGAGCTGGAGAGCAGCTCTTCGAAAAACATCCAGAACAGCTGACAGACGTGTTATATGGCTGTCAAAGGTGGGCGAAAAGACGATGACATCGTCTAAATAACATAAGCAGATGGACCACTTATATCCTCGGAGAAGGGAGTCCATCATGCGCTCGAAAGTTTCCGGCGCATTACACAGTCCAAACGGCATGACTTTGAACTGGTAGAGGCCGTCGGGCGTAACGAAAGCGGTTTTTTCACGATCCATGGGGTCGACGGAAATTTGCCAATAGCCGGATCGAAGGTCGATAGACGAAAAGTATTGGGCACCATGGAGGCAATCGAGGGCATCATCAATCCGAGGCAAAGGGTAGACATCTTTGTGGGTCACTTTGTTTAAATGGCGATAGTCCACGCAAAAGCGCCAGCTGCCATCTTTCTTCTGAACGAGCACGACTGGGGAGGCCCAGGGGCTGGATGAGGGTTCTATTACGTCTTTAGTAATCATTTTATCCACTTCATTTTGGATTACTTGGCGTTCCTTGTGAGATACGCGATATGGACGCCGCCGTATAGGACTGGCATTACCAGTGTTGATCCGGTGAGTCACTGCAGTTGTTTGGCTGAGAGGGCGGTGGTCAAAGTCGAAAACGTGTCTATATGATGTTAGCAGGCTACGGAGGCTGGCAGCTTGCACTGCAGTGAGGTCGGGAGCAATCATCTTGTTAATGTCATCTGCAGGCAGAGTGTAATTGCGGCCAAGACAGGGGGATGTAGTATCGGTGTCCAAACCAGTAACGTTGCAGCTGTCAAGTGGAGATAGGGTGGCCAAAGACATGTCTTGCGGAATAACTTGAGTCAAGAGACTCACGTTGAGTAGTGGTATAACCACTGTATTATTAGCGACGGCGACAACAGTGTGAGCAAGGGCGACGTCTCGGGCCATCAGTACGTCGACTATAGGAGTGACGAGGTAGTCACCGTCGGGCACATGACGTGAGCACGACAAAGTGACATATGTAGCAGCTTGCGGAGGCAAGCGAACGTGGTGACGAGAGCGTAAACGGGGAGAATAGTCTGCTGGAAAATCGGCAAACTGCGGCAGTTCAAGCTGAAGAGCACCAGTGGCACAATCAATGAGCGCAGAATGACGTGACAGGAAGTCCAAACCAAGTATTAGGTCATGAGGACACATTTCAATGACGGCAAACTGAACTAATGTAGGATGACCAGCAATGGACACACGGGCCGTGCACATCCCTTGAACATCAGGGGTCCTCCCATCAGCGACACGAAGTTTGTGGGGAGCGGCAGGCGTGAGCACTTTATGTAGGCGTCGGCGAAGGTTCGCACTCATTACAGAAATGTGCGCTCCAGTATCTATAAGGGCAGAAATAGGCACACCGTCAACAGCAACGTCTAACAAATTTTGTCTCGTCGGAAGCGTCAAGAGAGGATTTGTGGAGGGAGTCGAAGATGCAGCGTCACCTCCGGGCGCTGCACCGTTTAGTTTTCCGGGTAGGCAGGAGCGGGGTTGAATGGAGATGACGGCCTGCGAGTCTGCGGTGAGCGAGACGACTGGCGACGTCCTGGAGGCGAACGCGACTGATGACCATGCGGTGACGGAGATCGGCTGTTGAACCTTCTGTAGTTGTTTTGCGGAGAAGGCTGCACGGCAGACGCGAAGCGGGTGCTGTCCTGTCGGTAGTGAGGTTGAGATGAAGTCCGAGGTGGCGAGGACCAGCGGTAATTGCAGTAACGGACGACATGACCGATACGGTGGCAATGAAAACAAATTGGTCGATTGTCGACAGTTCTCTACGCCGCAGGGTCGCGAGATCGGGCCGTGAACTGCTGCTTGCGATAGGACGAGGGTGGACGCCATGAAGCTCGCTGCGGGCTGGGCAAAGCGCACACCGAGGGAATACCTATGCTGGCGAGTTCTTGGCGGACGATGGCTTGAACCATGTTAGCAGTGAGTGGGGTGGTGTCACTTGCAGCGGTGTGAGCCGGAGCAGAGGCAATGGCTTCAAGTTCGCGCCGTACAATTCGGGTCACCTGATCCGATGAATCTAGAGGTGGTGGCTGTGTTCTTGCACGGTCTTCGCAAGATGATGTTGCGGCCGTATTCGGAAGGCGGGTGAACACGCTGTTAATCCGCCGGCTCTTCGCTTGCTCAAAGCGCCGACATTCTTTTATAATGGCGTCCACTGTAGAAAAATTTTTGCAGATGAGGAGGTTGAATGCGTCATCCGCAATCCCCTTAAGAATATGCCCTACCTTGTCAGCCTCCGGCATATCGGCATTGGCTTTGCGACACAACGACAACACATCTTCTATATAGGAGACGTAAGACTCGGTCGAGGTCTGCGCCCGAGACGCGAGCATTTTGTTCGCGGCCATTTTTCTTCCAATCGGCTTTCCGAACAGGTCTAGCATTTTCTCCCTGCACACTGCCCAACTCACAAGTTCTGTTTCATGGTTCTCATACCACGATTTGGCGGTTCCCCTAAGATAGAATAACAGGTTTGCCAGCATAAGAGTCGGGCCCCATCGGTATCGAGTACTCACACGTTCGTACTCTGCCAGCCAATCTTCAACGTCAACTTCATCTGGATCGCCGGAACCGCTGAACGTGCCAGGATCCCGCGGGGGTTCGAGCACAAAGGTTGTGGTCGCAGAAGGAGATGTAGTTACCGCATCATCTCCGGCCGCAGGAACACCAGGAGCAGATGCAGACGCCGTACTCTCCGTCATCGTTGTGGAATGACCCTTCAAACGTCGGCCGCTGCGAAGTTCCGTTGCGAGGCGGTTACCCCGCACCTCCACCAAATGTGACGGAGCGAGGTCTTGGCTTACAGGACAGCGTCCACCGAGAGTCGGCAGCCGAACAAGATGTCTGAGTTGCCTCTCGTGCAAGCGCCTAACGCACAGGCATCTTCTTCATCTTCGCTAAGTGCCACGCTTGCTCCTGTCGATGATGCACCGTAACAATATATATATATATATATATATATATATATATATATATATATATGGAACATGACGGCAATGGCAAAAATTCACCAAGTGGGTCCACATAACTGCTATCACAGTATGCACAGGGTCTCTTGTGCATTCACCTAACAAGACTCAAAGGTGAAAGCCATATAATATATTTTTTTTGTAGATGCATAGGGTTACAGGGAATACAAGCATCGTCAGCATTTTATTTTATTGAGATCGGGCGCTTTCTGCAACAGCATTGTGTGGTGTAATGTCACATTATGTTACATCAGAATTTGTGAATTCATGATGTTATTACATGGTAACGTTATCATGAGATGATTTTTTGCATCACTTGTCTCGACGCCACGTGACGGTCATTGCCAACAGCCAAATTTCCTGTTTGATGCATCTCATCAATGAAAGTTACTGTTAGTAGTTCATATTAAAAAAACCTTTTTGTTTAAGTCTGCAGAAAACAGAACAAACATAACTGTGTTTATCAAAAACGAGAATGTATCTTAACAGGAGTTAACTGTAGTAAGAAATTGAAAGCAACATATTATCCCAACCATTCAAACTGTGCACAGGCTCAATCCAGCCCCAGTTAAAAAGCACATGCAAGGGCACACTCACTTCTCTCCGAATGCTACTGGACTGCTCCGTCTTGAGGAAGTTTAGGAGCACATCAAGGAGAGTAGGATATTTGTGATATGGCTCCACTACATATCCGGTGCTCTCCACTAGCTGACCAAGTGTCCAGAGACTGATCTGGAAATAAAGGAAACTTTTTAAAAAATCAATGAACATTACAATACTCTGTAATGCAAAATTCGAGCACAGCCAGTAAAGCAAAACATGTTGAGTGGTCTGAGCACAATACAGCAGGGGCAGTGGTAAAGAAGGGACACAAACATCAGCCCTATCCCTTCTTTACCTCTGTCCATGTCGTATCACGCTGAAACCACTCAACACGTCCCACTGCTTCCCCCTCGCCCAAATGTCAGTATTTCAGCTGAAGGGTTTTGTGTTGGCAGTATGCGAATGGCAGGATGCCTGCCCCTCTGCACTACCAATTAGGGTGTGTTTGAATGACACACACTCTCCTGGATCTTCTTGACAATGGGACTTAGCTTCGATGGTGCACACATTTGAAATGGTGACCACAGCATTAGGTCCCTGGACAGGAAGCTTGTTTAACAGCAATGACACTTCCGCTGCTTGAGTTGCCAATTTTTGGAAATGAAGCATGAACACAGCCGCGTGGCTAGCATGAGACGCATTCTCCAGTGGCAGTGGTGCTCTCTTGTGCTCCCTCCACGGCCACAGTATTTTATCCTTAACTATGTTGTTTACTCAGCTGCTCCTCTTTTTGCTCTCTTCACTACCTCTGTCATTCGTTCCCAAAAGTGCTCCACGTTAGCCTCCTTTCGTCTTCATCAGAGCCAACTGTACACACAGTTGCACAGATGAACCCGACACAAAACAAACAAACAACAACAACAAAAAAACGAATGCTTAATAGTTGCACAATTACGCAGAGCCAATGAGTGCATTAAGTTAGCACGCTTCGAATTCCAAAGGCACATGCTCGATTGTGCTCGAATGCGATGCCTTCAGAGCTTAGCGAACAGTAATTTTCGCTGACTGCTTTCGGGGACACGAAATCGTTACATGGTGAATGTTACGTTGCTTCCAAGGTAGGAATAAGTGGGGAAGGAGAACGCATTTCACAGGAGGAGAGACGGAAACACCCCATTCTTCTGGAATCCGTAGCAAGGTAAAGCTTTCGTGCAGTAGTTGGTCGGAGTCACTTTCATTCATATTTTTAGTGCAAAAAAGAACCAGACAGAGACACAGACAGAACACATGTACAGGACGGGTGCTAGACAGACTAATTTTTATTGAAAAAGCCAAAAATCGTCAGACATGAGCACATGCACACAATCACACTCTGAGGGGGCTCTCTTATGTCTGCAACGTCACGTGTTACCACCTTACATGCACACGATTTGCTTTCAAATACTCAATCTCTTTACTGGACAAGGCGGCAGACACAACAGTGACATTTTCTTTCCTTCTTGCTCATAGCAAACGCTGCCATAATTTATTGCATTGCCTGATCCTTGCCTTTGCTAAGCGTGCATGTAGTGGCAAATTCAAAAGCACAACCACACCTGTGGCAATAATTCACCATATGACTCCCCCCCCCCCCCCCCCCCTTCTTGCGCGGCAGCTGTCGCATGTTGCTCTTGCAATCTGTCATTAAGACAGCGCCCAGTTTGTCCTATACAGCATCTGTTACATGAAAAGGGTATCTTATACACAACACCCATCTTGCAAGGCACAGACGGTGTCGTGTTATTTTTTGCACACAAAACCGGGCACATGTAGGCTAACCTTTCTGGGGCAGGGAATACCACTGACGCACCGCATTTTGCTGCCACCTTTTTTAGCTGATTGAATGAATGGTAAGGCCACAGGCCTTGCTTTTGGCTAGCCAGAGGACCTTGAACGAGCAGCCCCTTTAGTCTTCACCTCCTTTAGGAGGACTTGAGCCACGTGGTAAAACATGCCCTCTCAAGGCATTGTAAGTGGCGTTGCAAACTTTGCCCAACAAGGTGCTTGCATAACTTAGCGAGGGCCGCCCTAAAGTGGCTGACAGCGATTCCCCTTTTTTATTAGTTCAAAATGAACCGAATCCTACCTGAGCGTTTCCTTTTTTGAATGTGGCTCAGCCAGCTCAAAACACACATCAAGGAATTGAATAGTCCCTCTTCCAACAATTCATGGGTAAGTTTCAGGCCTTTAGAACATGTACTAAACACATTTAAAACACTCCAAATTAGGCTTGTGTGAATAGTGAATTTGATCGAATAATTTCTAATCGAATTCGAATAGTAGAAAAATGGCCATATTCATCATGGCCTATTTAACCTGCATAATATCTTTCTAAATTGAAATAAAGCCTTGATGCAAATGCCTTCTTTTTGATTCAAAAGAAGTCTTTGAGTAGTAGCAGAATTTGACTTTCGTTCAACTATTACAGCCTTATGCTTTCTGGCAAGTACAGATTGTGCCATTTTTTTTTTATTTTGTGTGCAATAACTGACTATAATAACTATTGTACTGTTTCCAACCTAAATATATGATTGAGTAAAAGATTACTGGTGGAAAAAAATTGCACCTCTTCATTATCCGATATTCTATTCATATTCGAAGCTACGTATTTGTATTGAATTCGTATTTGAAAATTTTGATATTCCCACAAACCTAGTCGTTTCTGCTGTCCCCTATGTCAGTGGCTATTTGAACGACTTCGGACTCCTTCATTGCTTTGGTCACACTGCCCCGTCCTGCTCACACAGTGCGTACTTTAGCAAAGTCACGTCATTTTCGGCAGCACCATTACCTGTAATCTTGATGACCTCTTAACAAAGTTTCTCACAGTCTGTGAAGTCATCTGTTCTGCTGTCTTTGCTTGTGGCAAACTGGCGGCATGGAAAAACCCAGCGTGCGCAAAGCAGTTGGCGATAGCCGTTGCGCGAAATTGCTGCCAAGCACTGCTGAGAAAGTCTACTGCTCCAGGCAAGTAAATTTTGTAGCGTTTGTCATTTTCATAAGACAACAAAATTTTGTGGGCAAGGCTCTTTCGGTAGATTTTTCAGGCTGCAGCAGAGACGTGATATTTGCAGGCAGAAACTTGACTGTAAGTGCCTCCAAATTCTCTCTTTTGCCGTGGCCTGGGCAGTTGTCAACAATGAACAGGACTTTTCTGTTTTTCTCAGCCATCTTGTCCATAGCATGAACGTACTCTTCAAAAAAGAGCAGCGGTCATTCACGCTGCCCTAATTGTGCAATAAACAATGCCATTCGGCAGTCGGGCATTTCAAAAGCACCTACGCTCGAGAGCTTTGCCAATTATGAGTAACGACAGCTTCTTTTCACCTACGGCTTTTGCCCCGAAAAAAACACTGACCCTGCCCTGCCCTTGTTTCACTTCGAGCATGCTTCACCCTTTGGTGTGAAGGTGCGGCTCGGCAACATTTGATAAAAAAGTGCTGCCTGCTGCCTCTCTTGCAACTCAGCGAGCCGGCTGCTGCACTAATTGTCTGCAGTGGCTGCGTCGACAGTGCCGCTCTTGCAGTACACTGACTGGGACACCGCACTGTTCTTTCTTTTTTTTTTTTTTTTTTTGAAGCAATTAAACCAGCTGCTGCTGCAACTGAAGTATGTGTGCCTAATTTAGAAGACCAGAGCACGTGCCTTCTCCATCATTATTGCTGTGGTGACAGGAAGGTTGGCCGCTGAGGCAATTCGTAGTCATACTATCAACACCACTTCAACGTATGAGAACTTCGACCCTTGAACCCACTTCCATTAGCTGGAAAAGCTTTGCTCAAATTTATCCAGTGCTTTATGCTTGTTTTCCAGCACCTTCGAAAGTGTAGACAAAGGGATCCCAAATTTTTGCTTGATGTTCCATTTTGTTTGGCCTCCTTTCTCCATTTTCTTAACTAAGGCAACCTCTTTTTCTAGCGTTAGCAAATTGCACTGCTTTGACGCCATGCTTGCCACACTCACGCTAAATTGCCACTCCTCACAGTCAGCAAAAAATATGTACCGCTCAGCTTGGGCAGATGAACGAAAATCACACCTCAGGAAAAATCCTGAGCACTACACTCACCGTCAGCGAAAAATCCGTACTGCATGGTTTGCACAAATGAACAGAAATCACACGTCAGGGAAAACCATGTGCATTGCACAAATCAAACAAGACAAACTACGCCAAGCGTGGGCAGAGGGCCTCCCTGCTCAGCGCATGTGTCACATGGCGTGCCACAGGGTTGCTTGCCAAAGTTGATATGTCGCTGGGCTGAGACACTTCGCGCACTTCACATTTGCGGAAAGCATCAACGTAGTGGCAGGCGTGGATAAGTAAGAAAAAAAATGGACGGCCTTCAGGCAATGCGGCATCGCGTGAATCATGTGAAATAGTCCGGCAGAGAAATTTTCGCTCCACTCTCAGTCAAGATTTCGAGTTATCCGCAAACCGACCCAAAAATACAAAAGAAAAAATATATATGGGACGTATAAAAAAATGTTCGGTGCCGTGAAAATTTTCAACGTAGCCTTCTTTTTTTTTTAGATATGTGAGTTCGAGTTAACGAGGTATCACTGTACGTCAGATTTCTGGTGTACACAGGAATCATCCAAGTACTCCACCTGCATTGCTGTTGGAGTCAGCAATGCACTTTTGGATGTATGTCTTCTTGCAATATGTCAGTGATGCAACGGAAAAGGCATTGCTCAACTTCTTGAGTGTGTCTGACCAAAAGAAGATCATGTCATACGGGAAGCTTCACCACACACATTAACGATTCATCTAAGTGATGCGTTTTTTTTTTGTTTTGTTTTTTTTCAAAAACGGGGACAGAAATTGTGCATTTTGGCAGACTCGGAATTCAGACACACTGTTCATTTCAATGAATATATGGGAAGGTGCCTCGGGGTCACCAACACAAACCATAAAAAAATAGAAAAATGCCAAAACTGCAAACTGTGCTAGAAGGAAAGTTGAGCAGATAACAAATGTTTTCTGTGAAACATGTGCAGCCAACCTTTGTTTCACTGCATTAAGAAACTGCTTCCTACGGTGGCACTCGTTCTTATATTTTTGTTTGTATGCATGTAAATAACTATTGCACTTACAGAGCTTATATTTGAGGTATTAGTCTATGAGGACCTTATAATTCATTCTTTTGTTTTATGTTTTCCTTGTTTGAGAAGTACCCATGTTTTTATTTATTCATTTTTCTTGTTACATGTCTTTAATTTGACTATTTATGGTAATATTTAGAATAAATTTGTTGTTTAAAACGAATTTGTTGCAAAAAACAATTTTTCTTCTCTCATTTGATAACCTACATTTCAGTGCCAATCAATTTCTGAGGCAGGAAAAAAAAAATTTCCTAGACTACCCAAAAGCTGATGATAATGACATAAGGGGTTTAACATCTCAAAATCACCATATGATTATGAAAGACGCCGTAGTGGAGGGCTCCGAAAATTTCGACCAGCTGGGGTTTTTTAACTTGCACCCAAATCTGAGCACACCGGCCTAGAAAATTTCCGCTTCCATCAGAAATGCAGCCATCGCAGCCAGGATTCGATTCTGCGACCTGCGGGTCAGCAGACGAGTACCTTAGCCACTAGACCACTGCTGCGGGCGACTACCCAAAAGCAGCCAATTTTTCTCTTTTCACGATAGTATTAAGGAGGCACATATAATCAATATCTTGCAGTAAATATTTTTGTGAATTCATGCATGATTTTCTCATTGTGATGAGCATCGACAGTGGCTTGTCATGCCATGGTAGCCGCTGCAACCCCATGCACCTCATGTAGCTTGCTACACACCTCTCTCTTTGGCAATGATGATGAATCTTGCAGCATGTCAATGATGATGGGAAGCAGTTCATTCATCCACTTGCGCATCTCTATCCCGCTGACCTGGAAAGACGATGAGCACAACGTGAAAAGCGTTACTGGTGGCAAAAGTGCGACACTAAAAGCACAGCTGTGTATTTAAATTGAAACAGGACTTAGAGTAAAGCCACGTCTTTCATTAAAAAAGCCAATGCTCTCTGTTTCTACCCATCAATACGCCATCGAAGATCACGCAATTAGAATAAAACAATTGCAAGGCCTTGACTAGCCATTGGTCATGCACCTGACTGAAAACAAGGGTCGAAAGTGTTGTGTGATCACATACCACTTTGGTAATTTAGTGACAGCAGAGAAAGCCACAATGTTATCAATTTATGCACAATATACAAGTCAATGACCGATATGCAATTTGTACACTGCATTCATGGCCAAATGACACAAAGCAAGGTGCCACGACCCTGTAGTTTCACACAATTGCAAAATGATGAACACATCTCTCTGCACTTGATTGCTTTTGGCGTGATTATGTTTTACTTGTATAACTTATTACTATTGTTCCTGTGTCGCATTTTGACTGCCTTTTTTGTTTACTTGATGTTATTTTATGTAAGTTCACTGTTTTACTTTTCACTTGTGTTGCGTATCTTACGTGCTGTTATAATTAATAATTTTATTGTTATTGTTAACCGAGGGTCCCACTGCAATCGTTTGACTTTGGGACCCTCGTCTGCATACTACATTCTACGAATTTTGTATTTTGAATGAATGAATAAACTGAAACAGAAACTGAAACATGGCATCAAAATGGCAATAAGCACCATAGCCACAATGATAAGTTTGTGGCGCAGTCACTACGTGGGAAGGAAAAAGAATGGGAAGTTTTGATGACAGAATTCAGGAGTGCGATAATTATAGGAGTGGGATTATGCAAGCTAATACAGTAAACACAACCCATTGAAAAGCACATACTCGAACAGTCAAAAAGAAGAAAGAACAATGACAGTGACAACCACACACGCTGGCCACAGAACTACTTTAGGTTACTGCGCACGACTGCAGCCACCACACAACCCTAGAATGAGGTGGCCAGCTACAAGATGCACCTGATTCTGAAAACGATGCTTCCTCTCTTTGCCCCTTTCTCATTGTTTGCTCTCCTTCTCCTCGATATAACTTTCCTGCTCAGTTGGTGCACCGCTGTTAAGAAGCATACGCGCTACGACCTCTATGTACGCAGAATTATAACCAGTACTTCACTGCATGCACCCACATAGAGCTCTATATAAAAGAGTAAACGAGAATTACGCTGTCCTTCATTATGACTATCGATTATTGCAGCCTGAACTGTAGTACAAAGGCACAACAATACTTTTGTATAGCCTATGGAGAATGTTAGAAAGGTCACCTTACTGAAAGAACTTCCAAATAAAACTGAGAAATGAACATGAAAAATCCTTGTGCACAGAGTGTCTGGTGCCAACACTTCAACAAGTGGTCTTGTTTCCTTTAAGGTTGCCACTGCCTACCTTAGCATGCGTATGTGCTTGCTTCGTACCCTCTCTCGCAACCGAAATGCAAGAATAAGGCTCAGGAACTTAAAGACAAGGAAGCGATGTTTGGAATATAAGCTTGCGTGCCAAACTGAGTGAATCTGACTTTCTCATCCCTTCTAGCTTCTTCCATCTTCCCCTGAACTCCTACTTTAAATGAAAAATGCCCCGCCGTACACGCGTTTCCAGTCAAGCTGCATGCAGATTGCTCCACTACGCTGTTTTCTTGCTTTCACTGTGCCTAACAGTATAGTGCAGAGCAATACCTATGAAAAAATAAAGAAAACTCACCTGTGCCTGCTCTCCAACTGCTGCCAGGACACATATGACTACCCCAGGGTTTGGATCTGGGGCCTTGAGCTTTGGGATAAGGACCTGCATGAAGTCACTGAGCATTAATGACCCTGTAGTGCATTAAGAAGATGGCTGAGAAAGCTGCTTACTCGTGCGCCATAAGGTGAGAAACAATGTCACAATTTTTCCATCATGCACAGCAAAAGATCACTAAAAAAATCTCGGCTTTTCGTATGACCTACCCCCTAAACTTCATCTGAATGGTCTTAATTAAGTGTATTTACTTCTATTTCCAAGTAAAAATACCAGAATTCAATCAATCAATCAGCTTTTATTTGTCCTTCAAAAATATGGGGGTAGTGAAAAAAAAGCCGCAGTACTGCAGTTTGACAAAGCTCTGGCCCCCTACGAAGTCCAGCAGCAAATAGTCAAGTAGAAAAAAAAATTGAAGAACACAAAAGGCCACATAAAGGGCTAACATAGTGAGCGTGGCTAGATGGTGTAGTGTGAATGCTTAAAAGGGCACTGACACAAAATTTTTCGGTAGTAATTTTATTCCGTCAAATGAAATGATGTCACTGCATCAGCTCACCGCATGAAATACAACTGTCCCACATTCAGTCCCTGCCAGCAAGCAAGTTATCTTTGTGTCCATTTTTCTTCCTTCACATTTGCACAACAATTGCTACGAATGACTGACAGCCTTTATATTTTCCTTGCCTTCATTGTCTGTTGGCTCTCATAAGTATTGATTTATTCATTTATATGTGGGGTTTAACGTCCCAAAACCACCATATGATTATGAGAGAAGCCGTAGTGAAGGGCTCCGGTACTTTTGACCATGTAGAGTTCTTTAATATGCACCCAAACCTGAGGACACAAGTCTACAGCATTTTCGCCTCCATTGAAAATATTGCGTCTAACAACGTAAAACGAACCTTTACATTTCCACTCTTTCCTTGTATCAAACGAAGTCACTTCATCAGCTTTATCAGCTAAGAGGACGGGAACAAGGTGACAGAAACCGACAAGCACAGGAACCCACATTTATCAGTTGGCGCCCGTTTTCATCAAGAAGCGTGACTGTTGGCTTCCACTTATGTAAGATATATTTTGGTGAAAGTCGCTCTTCCTCGACAAGAAAGCGTGAGGTGTCGCTGAAAAGTGCTGAGTAATCTCAGTGAACTGTGCCCTCAGTGAGTATTCAGTAGAAACTTACGGCCAGAATGGGCTCCATGTATGGTCGTATTAGCCCTGGAGCGTTGGACAGGAGGTGCCCCAGCATCTTGGCTGCCTGCTCCTTGTTTCGGACCACACCCGAGTGCTCCAACTCCGTCAGATTCTTGAAAAAATGAAAACAGAGCGCGGGAAAGTTGCAGTCGTAAAAGATAAACAAAACATGTCACCAGCAATGTAGCCATGTGTGAGCAGTGGCAAAAAGTGCCCTGCTCCTTCACATTAGCAGACATCTAACATGACACAAGACGTCTAACAGTGTTGAAAACAACAGAGCAGCTGAATTATGGTTGTCACAATGAAGGACCACTTGGCAGCTCAAAAATTTCTAAAAGAAGGGCTCAACTCTCAGAGCATATATACTATATCAGATGGATTCAAGAGCCCTCTTTGAAATGTTTATACCATTTGGCTGAAGTGTAATAAAACTTGTGAATAAGCTATGACTGCATATTTTTCGTCCCTTGGAGATCGGAAGTTTGACTGAAAAATTCAAAGTGCGAGGTCATTCAAGTTGTGACCTGCTACATTAAAATTCTGTGCCACTGCTTTTTGTAATTTCTCTGGCATGTACGTGCGATGACCATTTAATCTAGCATTAACAGGCTGTCCCGTTTCACCAATGTGCAATTTTTGACAATATGAACATTCAATCATGACCATAACATTTCAACTAGAGCAGGTAAATTTACATGATTACATGAGCTTGATTTTACATGATGCACAAAACCACTTCCAGTGCTTTTGACTAAACGTCATTGTGAAGGTTAAGAAAAGGAAAATAGACAACCACTTGTTTGAGGCCGAAAGCTATAAGGAAATCCGCAGAGATTTCTCAGAAGGAAAAACTTCTTAGTTGCCAAAAAAAAAAAAAAAAGCCAGTAAAAGCTCGAAGAGTGGCCTTTCAGGCCTTTTTTAAACACTTTTTAGGTAACTGCTACAAGCACGCTTGCTCGGTACCCACTACGTCATAAATAATTATAATTTCTGCGCAGTAGGCCGGCATTCACTATGCAACCCTTCATCATTCTTCGGAGAAGCCTGGTATCTGCTACACACTTGCAAAGAATTTTGTGCCATTTTTCTGCAGTAGGTGACAACGATGAAGAATTTGGCCTGAAGTGGGTATGCACTGCAATTAATAGATGACCAAGAACAAGTTTTTGTAATAGGTTGGAGCACTAGATGACCCCCTCATTATGCAATTCGTAATGTGTGATGCCTGGCTGCTTCTTTGCTGTTCTAAAATGCTTTATTACTAATATTCATGTTGTGTCCCAAACAACCCCTGCGTCCCGAGCGAGCCTCCGAGTGGTTCACAATGAAGCAGTGGATGACCGGTTGCAAACGACTCCGGTCGTTAAGCTCTTTCTCCTCCTCCGCCCCCCGCTTGACACAACGATCCGCCGATCGCTTCCCACGGCAGTTCGACTGCCGCCTCGATCTGAGTAGGAATAAACAAGTTCGAGGTTGCCTATGCCTTTTCACTACTGTTCCAGGAGTACGTGTATGGGACGATGACAACCCCGGACATAACAATTAACGCGATTCCTTTCCCAACATCAAGCTTGCCTAAGGAAGGTTTGCAAATGAGTTCCAAGCACAGGCATGGCTCAGTGGTAGAATACTGCGCTGGCACGCAGAGAACCCGGGTTCGAATTCCACTGTGTTCCCGGTGTTTTTTATTTACTGAGTTTTTTTCTCATTTCGTGTGATAGCGGTTACGAACACCGGTGGCGGCAGACAACTACGATGCTGCATGCGACCCATTTTCTGATCTCGTAACAGCTTTCACTGTGAAATTCGCCTAGGTCTGCAAAGTAAACCTGTAACCAACACCTTTTTCAAGGCGGTCGCCCTACTAGTTGAGCTAACTAAGAACCTAGCAATTAGCACCACAAGGGCTCGAAGCACACGGACACACGTAATGCAAATGAGTTCTGCAGAATGTGTTCTGCAGAAATTGTTCATCGTAGTTCAGACGGCCAGGCTGTCGTCTCTCCCTTGTTGACCTGCGGACCATTGCCTCGCCGCGGTGGTGTAGTGGCTAAGGTACTCGGCTGCTGACCCGCAGGTCGCGGGATTAAATCCCGGCTACAGCGGCTGTATTTCTGCTGAAGGCCGGAATGTTGTTGGCCCGTGCCCTCAGATTTGGGTGGAAGTTTAAAAACCCCAGGTGGTCGAAATTTCTGGAGCCCTCCACTACGGCGTTTATCATAATCATATGGATGTTTTGGGACGTTAAACCCCACATATCAATCAAATACAGCAAGGTGGTGGAAGGGTTAAGAAAGAGAAAACAGACAACCACTTTTTTTAAGGCCCAGGTGGTTGCCACAAAATTGGCTTAGACAGTTGAACTTAGACAAGCTTGGGCGACCTTTGGAGGTCGCCTAAACTAACGTCACATCTTCATTGCAGTTTCTGTGCACTCGTGGACCACCACATTTCTCACTTCTTAGCCATATACAGCTTTGCTGCATCTTCTTTCTCATAGGATCATAAAAATTTTTATTCCTCGTTTTTTTTTTTCATTTTCTTTTTTTTGTAGATTGAGCTATACCTCTTTTGTTGTTACACGAGTTATCATTGCTTCTACAGTGATTGTTTTGTTATCGTTTATAGTGTTCATGAAGTCGTGTGTGCATTATGCCATTTCATCCTTTATGAATTAAGTACAGCAAAACCTCATCAATTCAGTCACTGCGACTGTGAAGAATCGTAGATTTAGGCGGGTTTTCGAATTATAGAAACATACAAAAAGTGGGATGCAACAAACTTTGAAATATTGAAAGTAATCAAAGGATAGAAGTGTAGAAGCTTGGGCTAGTTGGTCTGGGTTCACGATGGCCAATGTCACAGCGCAAAAATATAAAAAAATTTTGTAGCACTCTTCTATACTTTGTCCCAATTTTTTTTCCTTTGTTCTGTTGCTGCAAAATTCGCCATCATGTAACCACAGGGGGTCGATTGCTGTGCCAGCTAGTTTGCAGCTCCAAGGATAATGTCTTGCAGCAATGTCTGGTCCCAATTTTCTTGCAAATACAGAGAACAGTGGGCCTCGTTTCTGGCAGCACAGAAAAAAAAGAAAAAGAAAGCAATGGCGCTGTGGTAACTCAAAATGTGCGCTTGCGGAAAAGATGTGCTTCACTACAACACAGCGGCGACATGTGAGCAGTATGCCACATGCTCCTCGCAGCACCAGCATGTCATGATGAGAACATTCGCCTGTTTCTTCTGGTAAAATAAATAATACAGTAATGGCCAGTGTGACTGAATTCCCAGTGTGTTTTGGCTGGAAAACATGATCATCGTAGCTTTCTAACAAAGTTTTCGAAGCAGGCAATGCAGGCAAGAACTTCGCCAGCAGTGCAAGTGCGCAAATTGCTGGCGTAACTAGCAATTGGAGGTTTGCATACACCACGAATTTCGTCAGACTGTCCTCTATTATATTGTTACGTGAGTAACGAGACAAAGTATTGCGAATATATTCGAAAAATATATTGGCAAGAGCGGTTGCAGCACTGGCCAGTCTGGCTCCGAGCTCGAGCAGCCAGCGAGCCTCCTCTTCTTCGTCGGGCGCACACGCGCATTCGCACTATGGTTTGTGGCAGCCTACAGGTAGCATAACCCCCGTCGGCAAAGGCGCCGTCTCGGCGCATCTAGATGTCAAGATCATTGGGCGAGTGGTACTGCTTCAGGCGTGCGACGTGTACGATGTCGCTGGCCCTAGGGGTGGATGAAGACGGCGAGGCAGCAGGAGTGATTTCATAAGTGACGGGAGTCACCTCACGAAGCACTCTGTAGGGCCCTGTGTACCGAGAGAGCAGCTTGTCAGACAGGCCAACGTGCCTGGTCGGAGACCACAGCAGAACCAACGAACCGGGCGAAAAGTGCACATCGCGGTGTCGTTGGTCGTACCGACGCCGTTGGTTTGCTTGGGAGGTCAGAAGGCGAGCACGAGCGGTTTCGCGTGCGTGGGCGGCCCGGCTGATGGCGTCCAGAGCATATTGTGAAGTTGGAGCTGCTGGTAACGGAATCGTCGTATCGAGGGGTAATGTGGGTTCGCGGCCGAACAGCAAGAAAAAAGGGGAGTAACCAGCCGTGTCGTGGCGCGAAGAATTGTAGGCAAATGTCACGTATGGTAAAGCGATGTCCCAGTCAGAGTGATCTGAGGAAACGTACTTTGCAAGCATGTCAGTTAGGGTTCGGTTCAGGCGTTCTGTGAGGCCATTTGTTTGCGGATGGTACGACGTAGTGAGCTTGTGGCGTGTTGCACAAGAGCGTAGAATGTCCGCTATGACTTTCGATAGAAATGTGCGGCCTCGGTCCGTGAGCAGCTGGCGTGGAGCACCATGTTGCAAGATCACGTCGTGTAGAAGAAAATCGGCGACGTCAGTGGCGCAACTTGTTGGAAGGGCGCGTGTGATTGCGTAGCGTGTGGCGTAGTCTGTGGCCACAGCTATCCACCTGTTGCCAGCAGAAGACAGAGGAAAAGGGCCGAGTAAGTCCAAGCCGACGCGAAAGAAAGGTTCAGTAGAAATATCGAGTGGTTGAAGGCGCCCAGCCGGAAGCGTCGATGGTGTTTTGCGGCGCTGACATTCCTCACACGCCGCGACGTATCTTCTGACGGACCGTGCCAGACCTGGCCAATAGAAGCGACGGCGAATCCGGTCGTATGTGCGGGACACACCCAGGTGACCGGCAGTAGGAACGTCATGAAGTTCGTGGAGTACAGCCAAGCGGAGGTGTTTGGGTATGGCAAGCAGCAGAGATGGGCCGTCTGGATGGAAGTTATGCCGGTATAATGTGCCATTCTGGAGTACGAACGAGCGATAGGATCGGTTCGATGGGGAGGAGTCGAGGCGCTCAATGATAGCTCGTAGGGCTGCATCACGGCGTTGCTCGTCGGCTATGTGGTTCAGTTGAGAAACGGAGCACACGCAGGCGTCGTTGTCAGGTATGGTGGCCGATGGGTCAACTGGATAGCGAGAAAGGCAATCGGCGTCCTGGTGCAGGCGTCCAGACTTGTATATCACAGAAAAGGTGTATTCTTGCAGTCGCAGAGCCCAGCGACCAAGTCGACCTGTAGGATCTCTTAAGGAT